CACCATCTCACAGGCAGGTTGTACACTGGTTTGTTTATGTCAACAAAGCTGTTAAATGCCCTGTCAGGCTCGACACTGACACAATAGCTGGGATTTGAACCCAGTACCACCTAATAGCAGCAACTGCTTCATGCTGGGAAGGTTGAATTCATTTTTCGTTTCCCTAAAGAGCCCATCAGACAGTGAATCTGACGTGAATATGAGTCATCAATTGTGGAGGATGGGCTCCCAGGGGGTGACATGCAGGATTCTGAAACGATGCCAGACAGGTCACGTGTTTGCTCTTTGGTGCCGGGATCAAAGCAAGGTGCATCCTATGTTACGTACCAGCATCTCCACTGTGCCCCTTTAACCTTCTAAACAATGGTAATTAGTTTCTCTTCTTCCAGGTGGGAGAAGCGGCTGCATTGCCCCTCATTCTCATCAGTCCATGGTTATGAGTCCTGTCAATGGGCACTGGGGAACCTTGGCACACTGGGGAACCTTGGCACACTGGGGAACCTTGGCACTCTTTCGGGAGTGTGCTGTGTCACCCGATGAAGTGACGAGGAGCGGGCGTTTGATGGCGCGCATCTCGGAGGAGGTGTCTGCTGGCATGCACATTGTGTGATGAGGGGGGGGCCAGTGAAAGGAATAATTGACTCTTCCAGACTGGGTGAAATTGGGAAAAACATTAAACTGTCCAAGCATCGCAAATGAGGCAGTTCTCCATTCTCTGAATTAGGGGTCCCCAGCCTGATGCATTTATAGGCAATCTATGCATTATGCATTTTCTTAGCCGGTCCATAAAGGCACAAAGCTGCACAGTCATCTTAATTGTGTGATTTAAGTCATTCCATGGTCAGAAACTGACCTCACCCAGCTGTAATTTGCTAAAGTATCTCATAAACCTGCAGATGCCTTGGACCTTGAGGAGCAGAGGTTTACGACCCTCCCCCTCCCCCGTTACCCGCAAGTCAGGTGCATATTTTCAGACATGGAGGCGTTCAAAGGTAAGTGTGTACATTTTATTAGGGTTGCCTGCAATGTCAGAAAAAGTACCAATTTGTATCTTTGAGGGTAGAATTACTTGTCACTGGGGCTGTACCCTCAAGGGTTTGCCTGTTGTACCCTCGGTGTAGGTAAATCGACCGTTTAAAGTACAGAAATGGCCTCTGGTTAACATCTTTATACCATTGAGGGAACTTTTTTGTCTTTTGTACCTTTTTTCTGATGGTGTGGCACCATGGAAACAAAAGACTTTTAGAACAATGAAAGAAGCAGGTGGGCTTAGTAACAACAACAACAAAAAAACAAAAAACAAAAGAAAGTCTGAGTTCACACATTAAAATGGGGGAGATATGTACCTCTCCACTGATGGATTTATCAATAAAATCTCAGATCACCCTTTAGCAGGTTCAAAGTTGCAAAAGGACATTTGTCATGCAACAAACTGATTTATTGCCAAATGTTGCCCTCTATCTGATTAATACATTGAATTAAGCTAAATTAGATTATGGCCAGTTGTTTTTTGCTCGTCTTTGTTTGTATCTTACAAAGGTTTATTGAATTAAAAATATAATTGCTTTTGATTTTACTTGTAAAATAAGATTGTTCTCTATTTGAAGTCTAAGCTAACAAAGGTTGTAGTCAGATGACATAAAGGATGCTCTCAGTGTTGTAAGAATGTAGAAATATAGGATGTGTCCAAATTCAGCGGCTGCATCCTTCGAATGACGCTGCCTACATAGTCAGTACATCATGAATCATTAGGCAGGAGAGCCACTAGGCAGAGCTTCCGATGAATGACCAGTAACGAGAACAAATAGTTATGGGAACAAAAGTTATACAGAACATAAAAGAAACCAATATCAGTAAACATATGCAAATAACTCCAAGGCAGACTTGGGTTCTTACTAAGCTAAGTGCAAAATCCAGGAGTACTGAGTAATCTGTTGTTCTGGTTTGGTTTCCTAGTGCTTTTTAAGTTAATATTTTGGATTGGTTCTGCCCGTTCTGGTTTCTCGTCTAGCTCAGCGCCCCCAGAATCCGTTTGCTTTACTCCTCCTCCTGCTTCTATCTATCATCTCACCCTCAGTGATTCCTGTTCCCCTCGGCACTTGAGTCCAATCCAGTCATCATATCTGCCCAGATTGGTGTCAGTGCTGGTGTTACTGGGAAATGAGCCCGCCAAAGAGGAGAAACCTAACAGGCAGAAGATCTGGGGCCACATGCATACATTTTGTGGTGCTTGTGTTTGTTGTATTTTGAACTTTTAAATTCTCAATCTCCAGGTTATGGCAATTTTATGAATGAAAATGTCTTTTGTGGAAATTAAGTGCATGATTTTTAAAATAAAATCCCAGGTATAAATTTCTTACCATTATTATTTTAATAAATTAACATAAGAGCCACCATGATATTACTAGCAATTTAATGGCTAATTTGTCATGTTTTGCCCGCCTGATCCTCCTATCTCTTCCTTAACCTGACCCTGATGAGTCACGCCTGGTGTTTGTTACCCCTCGTTAGTCCTTGTATTTAAGTACCTGTTTCTCTCATCAGCCCTAGTCCGGTCATTGATGTCGAACCTTCCTGTTGCCTGATCCCTTGCGATCCTGTTTAATTCCAAACTCTGTTCATTGAGCTCAGTAAACCCCTTTTGTTTTCGCCACAACGTCCTGCCCACAAGTCCTTCGTCCCGTCTGTTGTGACATAATTCAAGCTTAACTGCCTAGGATTAGACTGGCCAACACATAACTGCGGTTTAAATGGCAAACCTGATTAGAGCAAAGGCACGGCATCCAGTTTCCATAAGGGGCTCCGATGATATCGTCTTCTGCAGCTGACCTCTGCCAAGGACAGAGACAACCACAGCTGTAGACACCCAGACCTCAAACGCAGCATACACACGTGTACTGGTGAAGAAGACAAACTCAAATATGGATTTCATTTCTGTGTCCGCTGCTAAACTGACAGATATACCATTACTTAACTGGTGTATGCATTTTTTTTATATGATGAAATTTACAGTTTTACCTGTTTATTCAGCTGCATACTAGACTAGAATTCAGCTCAAATACCTCAAGGGCAGAACATCTGTACCCCACCCCTGTCGCTAACTTATCTGGAGCCAAAAGTCTTCATGGTCGAAGAAAACCTTGAAAAGAATTATTCTCCACGTAGATAAATAACTTTTAACAAGCATCAGCTTGGGTTGTTTTAATGAATTCTTTATGTGATGTGTGGCATTGTGTTCTCCATTGATCTCCTTACTTCTCTTTCATGTAGTAACTGCATCTTGAGGTCAAGTCTGAAAACAGGATTTTTTTTGTCAGCGGGGTGGGGGGGTGTGATGTTAGGGGTCACGCCCCTCCTCTCACCAACAATCACTTACTTATTATTAATGATATAAAGCAGAGTTTTCTCCAGGTAGCAGGGGATTGTGTGGTCATGAACGATAACTGAGGGCCTTGAAGCGTAATGAAATGTCGTAATTTTATCTCCCAGTTTTTCTGTGTCTGTTTGTACTCTCTTAGAGGCGAAATGGCAGTTTTAGGCGTTTTGCTTTCCAAGCCTGTTAATTTTGGTGCTCTTTAATGAAGTCCCTCATTCCACCATCCAAATCCCCATGTCACAAGGCTCTGTTCAATGTCCCAGAGGAAGCAAATATTTTATAAGCGCAATATGCAAAAACAATTGCCTTCATTACCAGAGTCACAGCATGTAGCTTCTTAGCACCAATTGCCAATTGGCTCTAAATACAGGCAACAGAGGTTCAGTGAACACTGCAGAAGGCAGCTGGGATGGACGGCCAGTTTTTACATGGGCCGTTCTCACTCTCGCAGGGCAGGTTAGAGACATCAGTCCTCGTAAGGACACTTCTTTGGAAACTGGACAGCCATGTAAACGATGGGAGAAAATGCAAACTGCACACATAAAGCCAGGCGTGATATTAAAATGCTCAGCACTGGAGGAGTGAAGACACACTGCTACCCCAGTGATCATAATCCATCCTTACATCCATCCATCCATCATCCATCCATCTTGTAACCGCTCAGTCGGGTTATGGCCGCAGGGGGCCTGGAGCTTACCCCAGGTAGCGCGGAGAACACGGTGGGGGTAAACTGTGGGCAGCAGGCATGTGCAGAGGGGGTGGCTGGGGGCCCTGAGCACCTGCCCGTGTTGCCAAAACTATTTAATGTGAGTAGCCCCTTTTTAACCTTGAAGCACCTGTCCCTCAAAAAGTCTCTGCACAGTGCTGCTGGACAGGATGCCAATCTTAATAATGTAACTAGTAAATTCTTTTGGGGATGATGGTTTGTTGGTAATTAAACACACTGTTTTGTTACATTTTTTATTTAAAAAAAAAAAAAACAACACATTTTTTTCAATCATTTCAGGTTTTTGAGTGAGTGGGGTTCAGTAACCTTTGCATGCATCTTTAACCGAAGTGCCACCTACTGGTAGCAGAGCAGGAGCTGCACCACTGGATTTCAACCAATGACACAATCAGGTTGTGCTGATCTGACTGTGTACCTCCCAAGGTAACCCAGTATTCTCAGTGCATTGACTAAGGAATGAATTTGCAATACTGACACATCGTGAGTTTTTCTGTTGGACCTATATCGTCATTCATTGGCAGCATGCTTTAAAAAGAGCAATTTGCAAGTGACCTAATGGTTAAGGAAGTGCGTTTGTGGTTGAAAGCTTGCTGGTTAAAATCACTGCCCTACAAAGAACCACCCCCAAGCACTGCTCCCTGCGTGCTAAATAGTAGCTGTCCACTGTTATGTCATGTATGGGTTAAATGGACAGGACACATTTTACTGTGGTTTGTCAACAATGTTAGTTTTTCACTTTTGGAAGAATGAAACAATGGAGTTATGGTCTCAAATGAAGTCGAGTGTAACACGATTTCTGTTACTGAGCATCATTTATGTCTCTACAGCTAAAAACCAGTCTTTTAAAACACTGGTGGTGCTGGTGAAGGTGGTACTGTAATTACAGGGCATTCAGTCAGTGCAAACACATGGTCTGCTTGAGTAGCTGCTATTATTAGAAAGGCACTATCCTGTGATCAAGAAGTAGTAATGAGAAGGGAAACACCCTACGCAAGGGCACGGTGTAATGCGGTTTTAAGAGGCTTTCTTGAAATAGCCACGTAAACAGAAAACTTTCATATCGCCGATCAGCAGTCGCGGGCACGGTATCCACGGCCGCGACTCCGTCGTCACAGTGACGGCATCAAGCCTGATGCTCTTACGCGGCCCCCGTGCGCAGATTGCGTAGTGGGGAGCCGGGCTACGGCACTGGGTGCACGGAGACGGGGATGCTCCAGTAAACATCTCAAGGGGTACGATCACTAAAGGGGCTTTAATGTTGTGGTAACTGAAGAAAGGAGGGAATTACTCTTCACGCAACCTGTTACGCGAAGCTTTGGCAAAAGAGAAGCGCACGATGAATGACGTTAAACTGGCGGTCCTGGGAAGCGAAAGGGTCGGGAAATCTGGTATTTATTGGAATAGTCTAAAAAACATTGTTTATAAATAACAGTATGACAGCTGATAATTCATTAACTACATGCAATTTATCCATTCTCGTTGCAGCGCTCATCGTGCGATTTCTTACGAAGCGCTTTATTGGCGAATATGCATCATCAACAGGTAAAGTTGATCTTGAAATGTCTCTAACAATGAAAACAGACTAATTTTGCAGGTCGGGTAAGCATTTTGTCGGAAAATATATATTTTAAAACAAATCCAAAATTTCAAAATGTCTCCAGGATATGCAGCTTTGTAATAGTACTTTATCAATGGGATAATATTGATTGTGCAAAACAAAATTGTATCGATTTTCGGAGCTGTGTGCTTCCGGTAATTAATATTTTGGTGTGTTTTAAATATGACAACCTCTGATTGTAAATAACGGAGTTGTTCTGCTTTTTCTAAAGTCCTAATTGCTAAAGTTGTATATTACCTCTTAACAGTTTAATTTTTCAGCTGTTTTTTTCCCCTGTAAATCCCCCTGTAAAAAGGCTATTGAAATGGTATTGTAATATTCCGTTCCACAGACAAATGGATGGATGAGGTTTATAGGTCCCTGAATTGATTTTGCTTCAGTGTAATTATTTGTTTGCTTCCCAGAGTGCATATATAGGAAGCGCTTGTCAATTGATGGACGGCAGCTGAATCTTGAACTGTATGATCCATGTTCTCAGGTACGTGGAGTGAAAACGTGAAATGATGATGATGATGATGATGATGATGATGATGATGATGATGATGATGGTGATGATTATGGGATGGCAGTGCCAGACAGTACTGGTTTATCTCATTCACTTGTTTTGTTGTCAGTCAAATTAACTTGGAGAGAGCATATTTTTTACATACATATATGCCCGTGTTTCCTCAATATGTCTCACATTTATCTTATGAAAATGTATCTAAATCTTACTGAAAAATATTCAAAATTTTCTAGGGTAACTCCCTTTTATGTTTAAGTGTGCATTTAAAACTAACGTCTCACTCAGAGAATATACTAAACTAGTGACCGGCTGCCACAGTAACGCTACTGAAATGCTGTAACAATGTTACGCGCTTATCGACAATGTGGGATGCCTGTATCAGGGCGAAGTGACCGCTCTTTAATGCGTGCCCAGGCTTGTGAAGGAAAATCTAACGTGAACGAGCAGATGCACTGGGCCGACGGCTTTGTGGTGGTCTATGACATCAGCGACAAATCGTCGTTCCTCGCAGCGAAGGCCGTCCTCCATCTCATCCGGGAGCAGCATCTCGGGGTGGCCAAGAGGTACAGACCCGTCTCTGGCTACAGAGGGCAGCGGTGGAAATGGACCACAATTCTCTGCCTTTCCTGTGACAGAGATGAATCACTGTGGGCATGTAGGAGGCTCCTGCAAAACAGATTAGATTCTTGCTTGCTTCCATTAACAGGATAATAGCCAGTGACTGTGGTTTGAGTGGCAGCTGTTTGCTACTTTTCAGTCTGTTGAGCAATAGCTTGTATGAATTTATCGAGACTTTTGATAAGGAGTCCTGACAACAATTAGTACTGACAGCTTAGCCTGGTGTTTAGTGATAATTGTTTCAAGAACACGCAGTAACACCTGTATTTATGTTGTAGTCCTCCACAATGTTCAGAGTACATTTTCAGACCCTTTCAGCTGGTGTTGATCAAATATACACTAGTGGCCAAAATTGTGGAAACAGCTAGCATTTTTGGCATTACACTTTAAAAATTACTATGTGAATGTTGGCGGTAATGTTTATAAACAATCAAAGAATGTTATAAATATCATACATTGGATGGTTAAAGAAGTAACTGGAGCAACAGTTGGATAAAGTTCTGCAATTTCCAAAAATTGAAAGTGTTTCCACAATTTTCATCACTAAAGTATGATAGTTTTGTGGAGCTTTGAGTAAATTGCAGCAGCGGATCACATGCGGTACACGCTGAGATCCATTCCCGGCTCTCCCATAGGGACGGAGACTCCGTGGTGTTTCTGGTGGGCAACAAGCAGGATCTGTGCCACATGAGGGAGGTGGACCGCGAGGAGGGCCAGCGACTGGCAGCTGAGGCCAGATGCCACTTCTACGAGCTCTCTGCTGCAGAGCACTACCAGGAGGTAGCGCTGATGTTCTCCAAGATGGTGCGCAACATCAGCCTTAGCGGCAAGACCAAGGATCGCCGTCGGCCCAGTGGCTCCAAGTCCATGGCTAAGCTGATCAACAACGTCTTTGGGAAGCGGCGGAAGTCGGTGTAGGAGGTTTGATGTGATGCTTAGTGACAGACGCACAAGAGCCATGTGATCATGACTGCAGCTACATTATTTCTTCATTGTTTTTGGAGCAAATTTTGTCTTGTGAATCATTATCCTTCAAACAATCATACTGTAGCTGTAATATGTACATTATGTAAGGTATCGAAAGTAACATTTGTTAAAGTGCTATACAAAACATTTACAATAGTAAATATAAACAGTATTACAGTATTTATTTTCTTTACTCTGACATGTAACCTTTCCCAATTTATACATAAATGTAGTTCCTTAATCATTATACTGCTTGTTGCTAAAGATTCTTTAAGATGAATGCAAGTTAGAGTAAGGATGGAACGGTTCTTGTAAAAAAAAAATTTGTGGTTTAACTGGTTTCCTGATATTATGCTGTACTGGTTTGGAGTGGATGAGTGTCAGAGTGTAACTCATCTGTAGTTTGGAACAATTCGTCTTCTTATCTGAGATCAACTGTTCATTTGATCATATTGCCATCTGTATTCTCAAAATATGTATTGTTCACTATACATAAAAGCAAAACAATGAAAATATGAATTTCTGAGAAATACTCCTTTTGTAAATAAAGTTTCCATAAATGCTTGAAAACTCATTTTCCTCATGATTTTTAATATCTGACATTGCTTAACTGTGTGACTAGTGATGAGGTTTATCTGTCAGTATCTGAATCATCAGTCATCCAGAATGAAGCTAAGCATCAGACCCATAAAAATGTGGACTGTCTGGCAGGGAGCTCGGAGGGAGCAAAAATGTGGTCCGACTATGAATCCCTGAGGACCGGATTGGGAAACCCTGTTTTACAGTATATTTACATATCTTTGACAGATGATGCTGGAGTATATCTCTGAGTACCGTTCCTGTTAATTCAGAGGAGCTGGATCTGACTGCTCAGTGGGGTGTAGCAGGGTGTACTTGTGAACAACAACAGAGTCAACAACTAGACAAGCTGCTGTGTCTTATAAAACTATGTGAATATTTTAGATGGTTCAACATTTTAGGGACAAATTGAGGAAATTGAAGACTGATCTCAGTCAAAATATCTGTTTAAGTATCACGCAGGGTTGCCGTGTGTGTATGGAGTGGCCAGGACTACGTGCGTGCATGTGCGTGTCAATGCAATCCCACTTAACCTTGTGCTTTTGCAGAACACATTCTGAATGTTGAACTAACTCCCGATGGGGCAGGTCCAAGATGAAATGCAGTCATTGTGAAGGTGAGTCTTGTTGACTGGAACAGACCTTCTCCAACAGAGGAAGCAGCACCTGCGCAGGCTGACAACCACAATGAAGCGAGTTCTCTACTTCCTGGGGGAAGTAAGTGCCATCGATAGACACGCTCTGGGTTTGAAGCCCTTCAGGGCCTTGCTGGTGATGTCTGACTTGGAGGGCTGCTGGATGGGCATTCCACATCTATGGGTGGCAATAAGGCATGAAAGATGGCCTACAGGATAAGACATTGACCTGGGCTGGAGATAAGGGCACCATGGAGATCACTACTGTAAACATACCAACAGGTTTACAGTCGAAATGACGTCCTTACTATTGACTCATTTTAAATAGGCAGACAGAAACAACTAATTCATAGTGGGACTCTTTAAAGTTTGGTTCTTATTTCTTGATGACTCTGTGTTGTGCCTGGGGAGTCCACATAACCTCTTTCATACTGCAGTTGAGCATAAATGAAATTTCATCATAAAAAGCAAAATACATAGCAATAGCTTTTCTTGGAACAAAGTTGTTTAAATATAAAATACTGCACAATACACTAATAATAATCAAAACACTTTTAATTCTGCATTGTTAAACTGATGTATGGAGACAGAGATGTGATGGTGTGGTGTCTCTACACATAAAATTTAAGCCCCATAACGACTCCCGCTGGCTCTGTGCCATTGTGGTTACCAGGTCACTAGCGTGTTGCCCTGTGCTACGGAAATACCGATGCTGTAAATCTCGACGCAGGGTTCCCTCAAGAGTACCGTTTGCGGGCCTCTATTCATGTCGATCTTCTGGTGAGAAACAGCCACCAAGAAGCTCCTTTTGAGCGCGGCCCACGAAACACAAACAAAACGCAAATCGCAAAATCCAAACGCAGACGGCCCCCAGCCCCCGGCCCCCGGCCCCCGGCCCCTGGGCAGCTCCCAGGAAACCACAAGGCCCGTCACTGTGGCAGGAGGTGGGCAGCGTGACGTACAGTAAGCGACCATTTCTTGTTAAGAGCATGCATCTGCTCTGAATGGCCCACATTTCCCACCAGTTGCAGTTTTGCCATTGTCATGTTTCAGGTGACCTATCACAGAGATCCATCAAATCAAAGAGGACCACATCAACATCAAAATGACTATTTTTCTTCACGCCTTTGAGTCTGTTTTCGACATGGATCCTCTCTGTTTCAGATGCATTTGTAAGGCTGTTTTTATATCCCATGTTAACCTTTGGCACAATAGATCCTACCAAACCGCATAACCACGCTGGATGGAGCACACAATGTGGGCAGTTTAAAGACAGCAGTTCACCTAAATCAAATCTTAGGACTCTAACAGGAAATCTACAATCAAGGAATGATGGCAGAATATGATGCTCTGCAGGCCATTGTGTCTTTTGATATATTTCAATTAATTAGATATAATGCTACTGATAAATTAATTGTGGCATGATGAGTACAGTAATCAGTGTGGAGAATGAATTTCATTCAATGTAAAACACGGTATCCATATCCATAAAGTATGAACATGTACAGTAATTTAAAGCTTGCATGTTCAAAGGCTAGAGTTTGCACCCTTGAATTCAGCATTTAACATTAATTACAAAGAAAAGTAGGGTGTGTGGTTAGCAACAGGAAGTCACAGCACTTCATGACATGTTACTGCAACCTGGTGGCTACCATTTCAAAGTTTCCGCACCTGAAGTTTTCTCTGCAGTAATACACCCTGATTAATGCATTCCAGCATGTTCAGCTAATTGGCCTGTGGCCAGAGACAGAAAGGTAACACTTTACTTGTGATGCCTTTTGTGCATGCAAACAGTTGCCGTCGTTGCTAAGGATGTATGCCTCTTACTTGAAGGCTGCCTAAAGTACTTAAACTGAATTACTCTAGGTACTACAATGCATTCAAACCATTATTTTGAACTTGATACATTCTCCGATCTATCACCAGTACACAGATACAGCTATCTAGCAATGTTACTGCAAATCACTGCGTGCGGTCCATGTACAAAATCCTTCTGCTTCAGAAAAGCCTCTCATTTTTGTAACCTAGAAGAGCGCTAATGAGAATTAGATTCTTAACTGTAAATAGATAATTTAATTGCAATTCTAATCAAGGATGTGGAAGTACCCAGATGCAAGTATCATTAGTCATCAGTGAGCACTAAAAATGGCATCATCATCATCATCATCATCATCCATGCATTACTTTAAGACTTTAACGTGTGTACAGACATATTTACCACTTTTCTGCATTGTATACTGTGTTTTTCTATAGAACCATGTGACTCAGGGAGTTCAAAGCAGACCACTGTCTTGTTTGGAATCTTTTAAGGGGTGGACAGGAGTATGGAAGGAACAGAACAATGAAGATGTTCCCTAAATAGGATAATGTTCCAAGACCACAATGCTCAGGTCTGGGGCTCCTAGAGAAACAAAACAGCAGCACAATACACCAACCCTACAATGAAGGACAGGTGGAACAAATTAATATGAATAATCAGGGTCTTCTGACTCTCCCTCCTCAGAGGGAGAGGAGCCCTTGTTCCCATCCTCACAATTACATCATTCGAATTAATGACCAACTTCCTGAAGGAATTAATACAGATCTGTAAACATGTGCAATCAGTTACTGCAACCAGCATGAATTACCAAAGAAAATGACACAATATTAATTCTCAGTGACTTCTGATAGTTGTGCATGTTGCTGTTAATGTATTTTTATGTAAAATACACAAATACACACAAACACTGTGTGTACCAGCTTGTGCTGGTAGCAGGTTACAGCTGGTCTAAGATGGTTTTATTTGGTCATATCCCAGCTCTTGCTACTCTTCGATGGTTTAGCTGTGTAGGTGCGGCCACCCCATTAAGCTGGACATGCTGGCACGACCAGTCAAACCAGCTAGAATGACCATCATAAGCTGGTATGACCAGCATAACCATCATATGAAAAAAACATACCTTAAACTGTAACTGCAGATTAAGCTGGTCAAGCTGCCTTTTTTCAGCAAAGTAACAAGGTTGCATTTTTTATACAGTAAAGGTAGGACAAGAAAACAGAGCAATGTTGACTAGCTACAGTGGAATGTAAAAGAGGGTGTAGAAGCTGTTGAGGGGGGTGATTGTACCCCCCAGTTTTCATCTCCTCCAGTAAACAGACCTTTGTATGTAAATTATTTAATTGCCCCCAATATCATATTCACTCCTACGTGATTTCCAGGTAACTTCCAGAGGACCTGGTTTACTAGGGTACGTATTGTGAATTTACATTGAGAGGAAAAAAAAAAGATTTGCATAAGATGAAAAGTTTTCAATGCACGGAAAAACCTGAACGTCGGCTGTAGTGATGTCATAAGCAAACCCCAGTAAATACACACGCAGTCGTCTGAGTTGACAATCTGGTGGCAGAAGAGTAATATGCCCGCATCTCAGGGTCACGGATGGTGGGGTTTGGTCGGACCCCGGATCTATTTGAAGCGGCGGTTGGGCATGGGGCATGTGGGCATGATTACAGGGAGGGGGCCTCTTTCCCCAGCCATCACCATTAATCTCTGGGGCCATGCAAAGCTCACAGGAGATCGACCCCCTCCTGCTTTGCTTTTGGCTGCCTGGCGGATGCATTAACGGGAAACAGATACGGCGAACCGATCCCATTCCAGCTGCCCCATTTTTCCATGTTGCTCTCGCAGATGCTGAAGGCTGGCATCCTGGATAATGGATCTTCGAGGTGGCTCCACACACCGGACAGCAGATGAATAAACATGAACAAATGCGGAGGAAGTAATGAACAGGATATGGAAAACATTAACCTCTAGACATGCATCCGATATCATTACTGCAAGAGGCTCCGATTCTGTATGATATTAGCAGGTGGGTGTGTATCAGGAAAAAAAAAGAAAAGAAAAAATACATTGTGGTGTGTTTGAGTCAATGACTATTTTGACTTTAATCTTTCATCGTCACCAAAGTGCAGGAAGCTGCATGCTAAGGTTGTTTGAGTTGCGTGATTAATTGCCAGATGGCCACAAAGTAAGTCTGACGTTTCATTTCTTGGTTTCAGTGTTCAAAGCACAAAACAAATCCCCTTATCGTAAAAATCAAATTGCCGTTGCAGGTTAAAAGATCACCCGAGTAAATAGTGTGAAATGGGACTTCCAGACACATGTGCTATGGCGTAAATTCAGTCATGGACGTGCAGAAAATGTGTGAGTCGTCGTCTTTCTGCTGACATTTCAAAGAAGAGGGAAATTTATCTTAGGTCGGCAACTACAATGATTAGTGGATTAAAGCAGTAATTAGACCTATACAGACAGGAAATCAGCCACTAAATAACTTTAATGTTTGCCTGTTTCTAACCTGCTTACTGGATATGAGAATCT